GCCATGAATCCTCTATTAGTTTGATATCTTTGCTTAGTGATCATAATTGGGATTGGAAACTCCATCGCTAAGCAAAGTCGCTAAGCAAAGCATCACATACCTACGACTAGCTCACTGTAGACTGATTGTCATTAAAATAGATTTGCAATTTTACTACAATCTTCTTCATTGACTCTGCTTGACAGAAGCTGGTTCTGAAGTGTGGGAATCATATGTCCATGGGTTGCTATAACATCATAAATGGCCACCAGTTGAGAAGTGCCTGAATGGTGATCACATGAGCCCAAGGAGTCTGTGATTGTCACAAATATGAGGACTGGTTGTGAAGTTACTTTTTAGCACCATCATGACTTCAGACACTAAACAGGGCAGTCATTAAGCAACATTCACCTGTATCTACCTGTATCACCTGTATCTAAAATGCTTATATGGGTAGAATGAAACTAACTCCTTAGCAGCTAAGGAAAATTTTATTCCGAGGACACCTAAGGCGTTAAGTAAATTTGCTGTTTAGAAAACACACTTACATATCCATACCAAACTCATTCTGGATTAACACAGAGATTTTCCATTGCTGTAATTAAACGCCTTATTCATTCTAGAGTCATTGGAAAGCTTCCTGATGCCTGGTCAAATTATTTGCATGCTATACAATTTATACCTCGTTCTTCATCCATGGATTCAAACTGATAACATATATCACTTTCTTCAGATCCCCCTGCCCCGGCCATGGTAGGAGCTGGACAACAACAACAACTACTACTACTACTACTACTACTACTACTACTACGAGGAGGAGGAGGAGGGTGTATATGTGTATGTTTGGAATAGAAGTGCAGTCTCAGCCATAGTCCTTAATGGAGTAAGCACTGTTACATATCTATTCCATATTCACCTATTTTGTAAATAAAAGCAATATTTTAAGGTATTTTATACATAATTATTTTAAAAAACACTTTATAAACCAAATTTTTCACATTCAGGTAGTCTTTGACTTATGTTCCCAATCAAGCCCAAAATTTATGTTGCTAAGAAGTGAGACATTTGTTAAGTGAGTTTTGCCTCATTTTACGACTTTTCAAGCCACAGTCGTTTAAGTGAATCACTGCATTTAATAGCATGGTTCAGTGAATCTGGATTCTCTATTGCCTTTGCTTCTCAGCAGGTCGCAAAAGCTGTTCAAATGACCCCAGAGACATTGCAGCCGTCATAAATATGAACCAGTTGCCAAGCATCCAAATTTTGACTATGTGACCATGGGGATGCTGCAAAGGTTGTAACTATGAAAAACGGTCATAAGTCACTTTTTTCACTACTCCTATAACTTTGAACAGTCACTAAATGAATCATCGTAAGTCAAGGACTACCTATATATTTGTTGCACATCAGCCTGGACAACTTGACAATGCTCCTTTCTTGGCTGCTGACAACATGCTGTATACATTCCCTTTCAACATCATGTTTGTTCAATATGAAAATCATTAACCTTTATTAACAGCAATGCTCATTTTATATACTGTATAAAAAAAATGCCTGGAGCTCCCAAAAAGCAGCATAAAACATAAACAGGCATAAAAATACAGTAATAAAAGAAAAAGGCAAATGTAGGTCAAAGGAGGAAAGACACGTGGCAAAAAAAAGCCAGCCTGTAAAATGAAACTTAAGGAGTCTAAACGGGATGTGCGGAGCCAGGCTGGATTCCATTTGCGGGTGTTTGTTCATTCCTCCTGCTCTCCACTCAGGAAATAAGGTAAGGCGGGATGTGCTTCTCCGAGGGGCATTACGGTAGCTGAGCTCCCGTCTCGGCGGCTAGCTCCTCCGCATTGTGTTTCCTATCCCGGGCAGGTAGGGGAGGCTGGGCAAGAGGAGCCGCGCCGGTGGGGGCCGGTGCGGGTGTCAGCCCCGCTAGGGAAGAAGAAGAGAAAGGCCAATCGGACTTTGCCGTTTGCTGGTCCCATCCCCGGACGGGGCAGATCAGATCTCGCCTGGCGACCTGGCAGCTGCTCCCGCAGCCCCCCTGGAACTTTTGCCAGGCATTGGCTCTGCCTGCTCGGGCGACGCGGCCAAGCCATCCCGGCTTGAATGCCCGGCCGCTTCCATCACCCCTGGAAGGAATCCAAGGACGGCGACGGGGAGGAAGGGGGGGACAGCAGCCCCGCTTTGTGATGAGGAGCCGGCCGGGAGACCTCGGAGCCGAGAGATCGGCCGAGGCCCACGGCGAGGCTCCGATTTATAAGGGTGCTGCCTGCGGAACTCCCGCCCACACGCCCGGAGCTTCTGGGAGGGACTCTCCGCCAGGCCGAGGCTTCAGCTCAAAAAGCCCAGCTGGAAGGTTGGGGCGAGGAGCGCCCGCTTCCAGCTGCCGAAGCAGATCCAGCCTCTCTCGCTTCGCCGCCCCTTTCCCGGGATGGAGGTTCCGGGCAGCGGCGCGGAGCTTCCCCTGCCTCCCGACCTGAAGGATTTGGAGATGAAACTCGGACAGAAACCTCCGGACGGGCTGATCCGGTGGCTGCGGGGGGACCCCACGGCTCACCTGCTTCGAAACAGCCCGAATCGGGGGCCGCGCCACGGGCTGGGGGAGAAGATCAAGGCTCTGAAGCTGGAACTGGTGAGTCACGGGAAACAACGAGCCCACCCCCCACCCCCCGCCACTTTCAGCGCGGACAGATAGGGTGCCCCCTTTGCACACACACACCCTTTTTGGCTCCTGAGGGGAGAAAAGGCAACGATCTTGTCCCTCCAAACTCGCTCTTCATTCATTCCCCTTGCCTTTCCATTCCGAACCGCGCCGTGGCCTTTCCTGTGCTAGTAACTAACAGCTGATTTGGCAGAAAGGAGCCCTCGCTATGAATGGGTGGCTTTGCCTTCTATTACGTTACACAACGAGCGACATTTAGTTTTCTTTCCCAATCTTCCTCCAAATGTTCCCTCTCCCCCACTCCTTCTTTAGAGGAAGCAAACCGAGTCCCACTGCCTGGGTGGCAGATTTTTATTGTTGAGTGAACTTGGGACACCTTCCCCTCACGGCCCCTTGCTGAACCTGGTCATTAATGACCGTCCTGGAGACTTAGCTCTGCTCTCATCTTTTATTTGTTGGTTCCCAGACCAAACTGCTTAGTCCAGTTTGCCTACTTTTCTATAGGCTTATCGATGTTATTGGGTGCCCCCCCCCCCCCCCCCGCATTTCCCAGTTCCGAGTCCCAAGCACTGCCTCTCCATCCCCATCCAATGGTGGGCAGCTCTGCACCCGTTTATCCCATCTGCTTCACCTCTGTTTCCTCTCCAGGATGCAAAATCAGGTTTATCATCAGATTTTTGGATCTGACAGGCACTTCTACTCTCTTGGCTGGAAAGGAAGAATACTTCTCTGCTAGATGCTTGCTATATGTTATTGATTACTTATATTAGTCTAGCTTTAAAAGTTCACTCTGTTCTCAATCTATACTGTATAATGCTTAGTCCATTATACTGTACATCTGATGGTGAGGCTACCATTTCCCAGCCCGATTCAAATACCGGATTGAAATTGAAATAATGTGGTGCCCGATTTCAGATACTGGAGACACTTGTCCAAGTCTGGTTTCAAAGTTAAGAAGGTGTGTCTCTAAAAGTCTGCACAGTTCTTGTGATGCAGTTCTTGTGATTCTGCAAAGTATTCCATTGAAGTAATAAGGGACCAAATCTTCTCTTCACATTAATGGACACACACACACACACACACACACACACACATATGCACATGCAAATGGTCACACACAAATATTACATACTTGGTGTTCTTAATTAGTCCAATTCAGATAAAAGCTTGAAAATGGATAAACTGGATCTAAAACATTCAGTGCATTTGAAGTAATCATAAAATGATTTTAGTGTGTCCATCTTGAATTTATTTGGTACCTGGAACTAAACTAAACAGGCACTAGGTAAGATTCAGTCAAGTTTAATTCTTAGATAGCTTCATGTCTGCATCCATATCTAGTTCTTTAAGATTTTTTTGGTTCAATTGTAAAATAACTCTGAATAGTTTGTTATTCTGTTTGAGATTTTTTTAAAACTTCTCAGGTTAGTCTGATTGCCTTTCATCTGAGTATTAATCAAGTCCAAACCTGCTTAACTGTTCTGAGGATCAGCTAAGCAGGGTAGCAGCTCAAGTTATTATTATGATTGTTTTTAATCATGCAAATTGCATCATGGGAGATTTATAATTGAACCTTAGGGCAAGGGAGATTCAAATAGTATACATTTCTTAGAGCCACTTTGGTGTAGTTAGAAATCATGAGGTTATGAGTTCTAATCCATCATTAGGCACGAAGCCAGCTGGGTGATCTTGGACCAGTCAGTTTCTCTCAGCCCTAGGAAGGAGACAATGGCAAACCACTTCTGAAAATCCTTGCCAAGAAAACTGCAAGGATTTGTCCAGGGAGTCTCCAAGAATTGGAGATGGTAAGGGGAAAAATACATTTATTAATTTGTTTTATTACCAGCCATAGTCAAATGATTCTCAGAGGCTTACAGGTTCATCTATTACATACAAAATATCCATAATAAAATAAAATAACATTATTAACAAAGATTAACTTTGAAAAATGCATCTATAGTAAAATGATTTTTAAAAATAATAGCCACAAAACAGATGTACATGTTTCTCTTTTTTATTTTCATTTCTCTGTTTCTACTTTTAATATGTAAGCCACCCGGAGGTGTCTGGAAGTTGAGCTCTAAACCCAATGAAATAAATTATTTAAATAACTGCAGTGTGTCATCCAGGTGTGATTTACACTGCAGCCCATTTATATGAGAATAAATTCCTCTGAACTTGGATTTATTTATTTCTGAATCAATATATACAGGATTGTGTTATTAATCTATTGAGATATCCATAAAAATGGAAAATATTGTTATGTAAAATTTCAAGTTGATTGTTCTTCAGGTTACTTCTGATCTTTCATTGTTTAAATTTAGGAACCATATATCACAATCAGCATTGTAATAAGCAGCTGTGCCTCAACACTTATCAAATCCCCACTTTTAAAATGATCTTTCATATGGAACTTGGCATTTAAGTATTACTTTTCCATCTCAACACAAAATAGAGAATGAGAGAAAATGGGTTTGTCCCAAGATTGTTTCTCCAGGCAGAAAACAGAATGCAATGAAACAGGCCTCCATTCTCCACACACACAGGCCTGGCTGTTTGCCTAAGGGAGACATCTGCTCCGCAGCATGAACATACTCATAAGGTTTCTTAGCAAGAGGGTGTTGTTTTTATTTTTCAAACTGAGGGTATTTTCATCCGTCATATACTTTGTTTCCATCACGAACTTCCTTCATTTACGAGGATGCTGAGAAACATGGAAGGAAAACAGTTGGGATGGATTAAGTTACATGCTGCACTGCCACAAATGGCTGATTTAGGAGGTTGATTTTCACGTGGTGAATCAGACTGTTTTCACTGTTCGCATGTACATGCAAAAACAGAACCACATGTCCTAGAATTGCCAGCAGAGCAAGTCTAACTTGATGGCCTCCAATTCCTACATCTGATGCAAAGTTCTATGTCCATCTTGGAGCCATTCAGGTACACTTGACTCACAACAGTTCATTTAGCGACCGTTCAAAGGTAAAACATCGGGAAGCCAGTTTCACTTAACAACCGTGTTACTAATTTACCAGCTGCAGCGATTCATTTAACAACTGTGGCAAGAAAAGTCATAATAGGAGGCAAAACTCAACAAATGTTTCACTTAGCAACAGAAATTTGGGGCTCAATTGTGGTCACAACTTGTTCCCTTAGGATAATTATATCTTAAGTGTAAATCCAGGAAGTAGTAGTTAGTAGTTTCCCTATTAAAGGTTGTTGTCAAAATGATTTAGGCAAAAATGATAGAGGCATTGTGGGAAAGCCTTGATTTCCTGGGTGTCCTGCTTTCCTACCGAGGCTGGTACAGTGAATTCTCCCTGACCCTCTGTTTTTCAAAAGGTGCCTTCTTAAACTAAGATGTAAAGGAGAAGAATTAAGAAAAGCTCCTACTTCCTGCTCCAGCCAGTGTGAGCTGGCCATGCGTGCTTTTCCCAAAGCTTGTGCTAGAGTGCAAGCTCTCTAAATGCCAGCCACCATGGCCAACAGATAAAATGTCAAAATGTAACTTGAGGTGAGCGTAATTCATCCTGTTGGATATCACTTTGCACCAACTGATACGGAGAAGTACGTGTGATGTATTTTGAACTTCTTCTTATCTTGTTTGGGACACTTGATCCAGGCCTCAGCACGTAGTCATTCCTGCTAATCTGGTCTGTACTTGGAAGTCCAGTTATTATTTGAGGAATATCAGGGCTGCAGGCTAGTCTGGGAAGCTAAAAAACACCCTTGAAGGAAAGATTGGCACACCATTTCCATATTGTTTCCAAGACAATTTCATGAATGAACATTACTTAAAGATTTTATCTTTTTTACCTTTTTTCAGAGTAAAAACGTCCTAGAAAATATATTCAGTGAAATACACGAAGAAGCTTTTCTGATGGTGGCATCTAGGTTCCAAAATCCCTTTCTAAAAGCTTTTTGAAAGTTTGTGAAATAGATTTTTATCTTTGGTGGGAATATATTTGATCTGGATTGAAAATTGTTGGTTGTTTCATTTAATTTTTAACTTTCTCTATGCTTTTACATGGCATTTTGTTTTGATTGTATTCTGTAATTTTCTGCTGCTCTTCTGAATTGTTGATTATCAAAGTAAATTTAATTCACCGGTTTGGTGTTTTGTTTGTTAGCTACCTACTGGTTTACATGCTTTAAATGCAATTTTATGTGATGAAACTAAATAAACACAGAGTAAAGTACTAGGATTATCATTCTTAAGTGACTAAAAGAACTATTTGTAACTGAAAGCAAGCCTGGGCTAGAGGAAAATGAAATCATAGGATCATTTTCACGAACATTGTTGTTGAAGATGGGATTCTTTGTGGGATCTGTATTTTAAATTTTCTGGGTCAGATGTGTGCCAAACAAAATGTAAAGAGCCATGGCCCATTTTATTAACTGCATTCTGTCAAGCTTTCTGTACCATCCTGCTTTTCATTGGAGAGTGCTGTAGTTCACTATGGATATTGTTTTGATTAATGCCTGGGAGGCCTTGGCACATAAATCTCAGACAATCACTATGCTATTGGAATTCTTTAGCATCATTTTAGTTCAAAAGCAAGACTACAATGTGCACAATATGCCCATCAATGTAGAGATTATTTTCTCTATTCTGAGGAAGTAATTTCCAATTATAATGAAAACAGTTGAGAGTCTAATCAGGAAAGTCCTGAGGGATTTTAAAAGTATCATTTAATACACCGTAATACTATCTATAGCTGCAATATTAGCTCCAGCATAGAGTTAAAATGTTAGACCGGTATTTCTCAACCACAGCAAATTAAGATGCATGGAATTCTGGGAGTTGAAGTCCATGCATCTTAAAGCTTCTGAGGTTGAAAAACAATGTATTAGATAAATATCAGAGATTTGGGCTATTTTTTTACGGCATTCCCCCCCTAGTTTTCTCCTGTTTTGGAGAAAATGGGAGGAGAAAATGTTATAATTGTGATCTCAAAGTCCTGAAGGAT